AAACCACTGTCAATCACGCCTGCCGCACAGCCTACAGAGATGCTTTTCCATGGCTTTCTAGGCAAGGAATTGGACAGGCACCTTTCTCCACACGGCACAGAAAATAGTAACTCTGGCTGCAGTGTTGCTGCGGCATGGCCAGAGACACAACTATTCTGACTTTGGCTGGAGGAACAATGAAGAAACACAACCACCTGTCAGCAAACCGCAGAAACTCTGTGTGATAACAGGCTAAATATCCCATCCCGCTGGAAGCGCGTGGAAAAAAGGCAGGTTTTGTTTGGGGTTGGTTTGGTATGGTTTTATTTTAAAGGGTCATAACGGGTGGTGGTGCGCAAGCGTCGCCGGGGGGCCCCGTCCCATCCATTCGAATGGAAGCGAGAGTTTTCAGAAAAGCACATTGTTCTGCTGCAAGTCTATTTGCCGATTCCCACTGAAGTGAATAGCCCTTCATTCCAGCGGGAATTTGTGCCGTCACTTCAAATGTTATGCATATAAGTTAATTTCACACTGGTTCAGGACTTTGTTTTCAAATGACCAAAAGGGTTAAGAACAGAGAAGTAAACGCCTGCCAAACACCCCGGTCTAAATTAAGGGTAAGGGCTTTTTTTTTCATGGTGGGGGGGAAGGGCAGGTGGGTGGACAATGACCAGAGAGGGAAATATGGACTGGAAATAAAGTACAGCCTTTTGTATTTCTGCAGCTCAAAGATGCTTTTGAACAGGACTGCTGCCAACTGTGGAAAACCACCTTTTTATGGAAAAAAATACGCCAGTAACAACGGATTTACCAGAACTGAGCCAGTGTGTCCTGTACGCATTTATTCAATATTATGCAAGATTAATTGTTTGGGGCATCATGCCTTCAGGAATGTTCTAAGCATTGGGGAGCCAAATTTAGCCTTGATATCATGAAATCAAATTTCCTTTTGTATCACAAAGTCCCCAGGATGCCTGATTACAACAGTGCTGAATCTGGCACTGGAAGATGTTACCTACAGACTGGGCACAGTTCTGTTCAAATATGACAAACTGCATTTGCTTCCTTAGCCTGCATGAATCGATGTACCTAGGCTAGTGCTAGACCTTCAAAACATTTTATTTTAAACAGACTTAATGCCTTTTGTTGCTTTGGAATGAGAAGAAATGAAAATATTATAGCAGATGACAATTTGATTATAGTTGTCACAAACGGGATTTTAAGGGTTGCACTCTCAATTACACTATGGCCCCATTATATTTCCTGCCCATCCTAAGAGCGCCTTAAACTTGGTGTAAATGTAATTATGAGATGAAATTTGCTTCGACTGTTAACTATAAAAGGGGATTTATCTATATAGGACTCGTCTATACAGGGAAATGGAATAATTACACCCAATTAAAACATCTACCCGGAATGTTTCGTCAGCAAAGCCATACCAGCATAAATTATTCTGTTACAATTATGCTCATCAATTTTCCTGTGTAAAAAGGCTCTTAGCATAAATAAAAATTGGGCTCTAATGATTAATTCAGTATTATATTTACCCAGGTTTATTGGCATGGTGGAATATATTGGTTTCCACGGAATCGAAACGGCAAAGAGTCTAACAACAGAGTAAAGAACCAGGCTTCAGAGGTATCGGTAGAGTGGGAAAACCTCTTTTTTTCCTTTAAACAAACTGTCGTACAAATCTGTTTACGCGCTTTTGGACAAGATCCTGTGTACCACCTGAGCAATCCTGAGTCCCCATTCCAGAGCAAATTGGCATGAGAACAGTTTTGTACTAGCTGAGGATTAGATGTACGGAATTACATTGATTTCACAAAACTTTGAGAGTCCTCTCAGTTATGTTGGTTTGCATAGCAGAATGTTGATGAACGTCAAACGCCCATCACGGCTAGCAGTTTGCCTCTAGTAACTCTTTGCCTGAATTCTGTTTTGTTCCGCAGTTACAAATTAATGAGGACAGTTAATTGGCAAACATTCGGTGTAGCTGAAGACCGGATGAACATACTATTGTGAGCATCTGATAAACTTAGCCATGCGTGGCTTTGAGAGAAACTGCTGTTCATGCCTACCATTGAAGGAAATTATCAAATATTACACTGTATTGCAGAAAATGTGGGGCTTATATGGAACCTACTCCCAGTAGATGTCTCAGCAGCAGGTATGGTATGGTATATACAGCTATTCAATATTTTCCTTGAAGTTTTGCAAGGATAATGCATCCGACATGAAAAAGCACACCTAGGCTGCAAAGAAGCAAGGCTCTCAACCCAATTCTTTCCAGCTGCTGTATTTTGCTGTCGAAAATCTGATTTGGGGACATCCATTGACGACCTGCCCACAACACTGATGTTCAGATCAGTGCTGAGATGCAGCAAAGAAACTGTATTTCCTAGAAAAGTCACCTTTAATTTTGTGACCTGGTTACAGCCTGCTCTAATTCCGAGACAGCCCTTAGCTGGACTCCGGGGACCTCGGGCAAAGGCATGAATCCCCTCTTCACCCTGAGAGCGGCCACCTTGCCCTGCCACCTTACTTACAGCATTGGTCTCCGCCTGTGGCTGGGGCATCATCGCTCCCTCCGGAACAGCTCTGCCCTCGTCGATGACAGCCTTACCCAGAGCAAAGCTATGTGCTGTGCCACAGCCAAGAATCCCTGCAGGCGTTAGCGTGACAGAAACCCTCCCTGCTGCCCCCCGGACCCCTGCAGGCCCCTCTGCGAGGGCTGCACAGGGCCATATTTGGTATTCCTTGGTGATTTCTGCACAGGGCTTACACCGCTCCCAGATGGTTTCAGACCCCTTAGCTCTGCCAGAGCCTGCCTTCAGATACAGTCATCTCTTGCGGGCTTAGGATGGGGTCCGCATCTTTTCCCACTCGTGCGCTCGATGCACCCCTTAGGCCGCCGAGATGCCTACACAGGCCACGTTGGGAGGTGGGTGGAAATGGGTGCCCCTGCCCGGCGCCCCGGTGGTGATCGGGTAGCACATTACGTGCCTCTCACGAGGG